CTTTTTTTCAAAAATGCCAAAGAAAAACTTGTTGGTTTTTACATCATTGTCTTGTAAACATACCCTAAAGCTCTCGTTCGCACAGCATGACTGTGTTGTAAGTCTCAGTCTGTGGCGTCTCTCGGCTGCTGTGGAACTCTGGGAGTCTGCAGTGGGCTGATGGGTAAGAATAATGTCTGTGTTGGTGTGTGGGAGGCCAGGAGACAGTCAAAGCAAAGGCCATCTGCCACAACAAAGCTTCTGATTAAAAACCTGCGCTTGACTCTCAACACTCTCTGATCTCTGAACTTTAGATGATTCCCATCCCCGACCAGAGGAATGAAATATCATACAGGAAAGCTTCATATCTCAGCTGTTCTCTCATTGACAGCAATGAGATTGTACTGAGAGAAAAAAAGTTCCTCTCAGAAGAGATCTCAGATATGCTCTGTGCTTTCAATCATTTCTCACCAAATCACCACATTGTTTAAGATTGTTTTTCACTCAACATATAATCAGCATGAATTACAGAAATCTCATTCTTGTTTCATTATGTATGACTGAAAAATATGCATCACTTAAGTTTATTAATGTTAAAAATCTCATTAATGTCTATGTTTTATTTCTCTTCAGGAATAACATCTGGGATAAATTTGGAGCTTTGAAATTTCTCCTTATATAATAAATGTTCCTGGTCATATTGAGCTATTTAGTCATATTATAGGAAATGAATGGCTGTTTTAATCACATACAATAGGTAATGAAAGCTGTTTAAGGTGGACTTTGAATTATTATTATTATTAATTAGAAATCTATTGTTTAGAGTAGTTTAAGACAACTAAACTTTTGAACCAAAATCTAAAAACCACAGTGTTATTTTAATGTCACTGAGATATGTATATATTAATTTTTTTTTTTTTTTTTTTTTTTTTTAGTTATCTATAATAATCCTGGTTATTAAAGTAACTTTTTCTTTCTTTCTTTTTTCTTTTGGACATTGAAAGCAATATAAGCAATGAAAGCGAAACTTCTGAGCATTTTCCTCTGGATGTGAGTATATGTTCCAAAACAGCAGTTCAAAAAACATTTGGCATTATTAAGGTGATTCACAAGACTTTGAATGATTGATAATTTCACTGATAACGGTTCTCACCGGTTTAGTGGGGAGAAAACGAGTATAAAACTGTTGTTTTCTCTGTCCCTCAGGCCTGTAACAATCCCATCTTCATCTGGCTCCTCTCTTTCTCTTCAGGCTGATGGCAGGTTGCACTGTTTTGGAGGTCGTCCAGAAATGAAATGCAGATTTGAGTCTCTTCTCCCTTGCGCAGTCACTTGTTCGCTCCCTCGCTCCCTCCCGCCCCAAGCGCGACAGCGGCACTTAATTTCAACAAATGCATTTTACTGAGACTGTTTAAGGAATAAGGTATGGTTTTTCTCAAGCGTTTAGATGCAAAATGCAAATGGGGTCACTGTTGGACAGGTTTGTTCATGTAAATTGTTAAATGCATGCTGTAAAGCATGAGAGGCGTCTTCTGCGTCCTCCAGATTAAGTGACAAAACACATGAGACCCCTTTGGTCCATTTAAAAAGGGAAGTGCAAACTTAATTTTGATGGATTATGCCAAAGCACCTCCGTTAGCATTGTGAGGGGTTCATCTATCTCTGTCAGTTTACATAGCATTGATGAACCCTTTAGTCATATGCAGGTGACACGTTACCTTATGAAAAAGCGCAGAAGGAAACCATCTATCATGGAAAAACGTGTATTCATAAACATTTGCTTGTCAACGCTGTGCTGCATGAAACGAGATCTTGTCTGCTGGCGGCGATGGCAAATGTTCTGCTCTCATGAGGATTTCTCTCTGAAATCAGTAAACCACATCGGTTTGTATGTGTTTTTACTGGTACCTCCAAAGAGCATCAGTGTTATGCAATAGTCTGTTTAAAACAGACATCTAACCAGAAAATTATTTTACATTTAAATTAAGTTCAAATTATTTTTGTGCTAGATAAATACACCATCTAATAATCAAAAAAATATATATACAGTAATTTATCAAAAATATAGTATAGCTAATATAGTCATCAAGATACTTTAAAAGGCATGGCAAAATATTAGCTTGACTACGTTATATGTAGATTGGTAACAAATAAAAAATGTAAAAATAATAAAAATAATTTTCATTCAACCCATTCAAATTAGATACATCCAGATGTTTACTGTTTATTGTCTTTTATTAATTATTATTATTATTATTAAATTAATTTAATGTATTTATTCAGTTTAATGGTGTCTAATTGAGATATTATTTTTGTGCTAGATAAATACTGTACATCGTCTACTAATCAAATAAAATATATAATTTTTAAAAATGTATCTAAAATATTTATCAAGGTATATTGCCATTTTAAATAGCATAGTAAAATAGTAGCTTGACAGGATTTATTATTTTAATAAGCTGGTTAAAAAATGTATACACAGATTCGCTAAAGTGAATTTTTTTGGATAATTTTTAGAAAAATATTGTCTTCAACTCTTTCATTCAAGTTACATAAATCCATGTTAAATATATATTTTTTAATTGGCTTTTAAGTTGTATTTTGTGAAAATGTACTTTTTTTTTATTTGCTAGATAAACAAATCATCTAATAATCAAATAAAATATACAATTTGCATATTTAACATAGCTAATATATTTATCAATTAAAAAACATGGCAGTTTAGTACTTGCATTTAATTTATTTTATTTAGATCATCACATTTTTAAAATGAAGCTTAGAATCTGCATAAATCTGTTAATTAAAAAAAAAAATCTAAACTTTTAATCAGTTGAAAAGCATGAACATGGTTTAAATATGGCTGTGAAATGAGCAAAAATTAATGAGAAATACATAAAAATTGCAATTACATACAGTAACTAAATAGCATAGCAAAACAGTAGTTTGAATATATATATATATATATATGTATTATATGTATTATATGTTGCTTATTTGGGAAGCTACAGAATTTCACTGGTTAAGATGATACCAAGATCTAAAACATTGATCTGATTGACCAATAATGTAACATTAAGAGTTTTTTAGTCTCCAAAGAAACACATAGCAATTCAGGAATGCTGTAGGGACAAAAGTAGATTTAAGAGGTTTTAAGCTGCTGCGTCTGGAAGGGTCGCCCTTCACAAGCACAGGCCGATGTCTCTGCTTCCTCATCACTGCTTGTAGAGTTTGTCCTCAGTGAGGGAAATAAAGAGCTCCAAAGCCCACACACAGCAGCAGGATTGAGAGCGATCGCTCCGGCTCCATGTCTGCATGAGTTTGAGAGGAAAGAGATTTCTGGGACATTGCCATCCCCCACAGGGCCCTGCGCTGAACCCCGCAGCGGAGCCATCCTGCACGCTCAACACATACACACACACACACACACATTAGGCCACGACTGGGGGAAGTCATGGCCTAATGGTTAGAGAGTCAGACTCGTAACCCAAAAGGTTGTGGGTTCGAGTCTCGTACCGGCAGGGATTGTAGGTGGGGGGAGCCCTCTCCCACCTTCAATACCACGACTGAGGTGCCCTTGAGCAAGGCACCGAACCCCCAACTGCTCCCCGGGCGCCGCCGCAAAAAAATGGCTGCCCACTGCTCCGGGTGTTTGTTCACGGTGTGTGTGTGTTCACTGCTGTGTGTGTGCACTTTGGATGGGATAAATGCAGAGCACTAATTCCGAGTATGGGCCACACGTCACTTCACTCACTCACACACTGCTCAAACAAAATTCAAGTGGTTTGTTTTTTTGCGCAATTCTAGAACGTAACCTCCTTTTCTCAGCTTAATTAGAAAGCAAGACTTTAGTAGTCTATTAGAATGACAAAAAAATGTGTATTTGTACAGTATAAATATGGATAAATCTACAAATTATATGAGTGATAGTGGCTCCATGAAGCTTTTAGATGCAGCACACGGAAGACTCAACTTACATTGATTCCACTGGTGTTTGATGTTAGCATGTTGATAATCCAACAGCAGCATACTAAGCGTAAAAACAAATATTGTCATTTTAATATTTTTCAGCAACACATTTTATATTTTCTTTTTAAATCAAATATTTGTTCTCATTTATAAACTACGATTCAAAATTCTGTTCAGTATGATGTGTGTGTGTGTGTGTGTGTGTGTGTGTGTGTGTGTTTTTTTTTAAGTCTCTTCTGCTCACCAAGTCTGCATTTATGTTAATATACAGTCAATTCAGAAATATTGTTAAAGTTTAAAATAATTGCTTTCTACTGTAAAATATTTTAAAATGTAATTTATTTCTGTGACACAAAGCTGAATTTTCAGCATCATTACTCCAGTCTTCAGTGTCACATGATCCTTCAGAAATCATTCTAATATGCTGATTAACTGCTCAAAAAAAAAAAACATTTCTGATTATTATCAATGTTGAAAACAGTTGTTTCCACAAGGATTCATGAATAAAAAGTAAAAATATGTATATATATTTGAAAAAATTTTTATAACAATGTCCATTTTTTGTCATTTTCAGTCAATTTAATGCATCCTAATAAAAGTTAATAAAAATGCTGAATAAAAGTACTAATTTCTTTTTCAAACCAACCAACCAAATACATAAATAAAAAATGGCCCTAACCTTTTGAATGGTAACTTTTACCATATTTAACATTATTCATACATAAACATTTCTCATATTCCTATCCTGCTATTTAATTTGCCAAAACATATTGGCTATAGTAATATTTTGAATTATTTTAATTTATATATTTAGTTTTCATTCTCATTTTAGTTAATTTTGTTGTATTTTTGTCACTGTTATTAGATTTTCTTTTGTTTAATGCGTCTACGTTTTATTTCAATTGTAGTTTACATATATATATACACACACACACATAGTGAAAATTGTTTCTACACCATTTTTTTTAATATTTCAGTTAGAGTTTCTTTTATTTCAAGTAACAAAAATGTATTTCATGGTTTTAGTTTTTAACAATAACATTGACATTGACAACATGACGTGAGTAAATGATGACAGAACTACCCTTATCCCTTCAGAAAGCCCCTTTAGTCAGGAGTGCAGATGAAAACCCATCTTTCTGTGTTTCAGATGTGAGCTCCAGGCCTGGCTGATGGAGGACTATCAGCGCTGTAATTACAGTCACTCACATGCCACTTTGAGCGGGAAGACGCTCCACATACAGAGATCTCAACGTGCTCCATCCAGCTGCAGCCTTTTGGCACGAGCCCAGCCGTGGACACACACTTTAGCCAGTATAAACCTTTGAGAGGCCAGACGATCATTTACAACACTCATCCCAAAACAGGCAGGTTGTAATTTCGACCAGACATTTACATTTACATTTAGTCATTTTGCAGACGCTTTTATCCTGTGACCTTAGAGCGTTGTCGAGAGACAACTGGAATGTGTTGGAAACACATGATAGAGGTGGAAAAGAGAGGACAGAAAAGGAGAGTGTGTACAGGGAAGATAAAAATGATACTTAAGTGGCTAGGCGATTTCGTTGCTCGGTGAAGTCGCGCAGGTAAAGTCGCAGGTCTTTACACTCGTTGGTCTTTACACAAGGAGGCCTGACACATCAACACATCCGCTGATGCTTCCGCGTCAGCGCACAGACATCAGGTAAATACACAGTCTAAAAGACTAAAGTGAAAACAGCTGTGGCCGCCTTCTAATTAGCACAGCCAATAGTCTATAGCAGGCCAATTCCTCAAATCGAAACTACAGTTCGCACTTAAACGCAGGAAGGGAGCAATTAAATTACACGCGCTCCTTCTTTGCCGAGGACAATTATTATAATTACCAGAAAGTACAATCAAAAATACAAACGCAAACAAAAATATAATGTAGAAATAGGCAGAAAATGAAATATTCCTTCCTAGCAGAAAGTAATAATTCAAACAGCAGATCTATAAACAAGTATTACGCAAAACACTCACGTGCAGCCGTCTGTCTCTTCTGTTGACTAATCGCTTGGCCCCTAACCCTAACCCAGATTCACTTTTATTCTTTACTGCCAGTACACCCAAGTTTAACATAAGCGGGGAAAGTAAGTCCACTAATTTTCAATCACGGCAGACGAGGCTCTTTTATCTTTGAGCTCGTGGAAAGGTCACAACAGCGATTCATTTGTTTTTCTCCAGGCTAGCGACGTCCAGCGAAGGTGCGTTTTTCTTCAGACAGGTGAGAGACAGAAACAGAGGATTTTTCTGTATATATCGAGGATAATCACTTTATAATCAACCTCATGGCCTTTCGTTGGTCTGTCATGTTGGACTAATTAACCACCTCTCGTTAAACTCAAACGATGCGTTTAGCGACCTGTCAGCTAACACACAAAACTGCTCATTTACCTTCAGAAAAGGAGACATGAAAAAAAAACAATTGTGTAGTTAAAATTACAAAACAAAGAGAAAAAACAGTTCTCACTGTGTAAAAAGAGTTTTACAAGTAAATACTATTTCAGTCTTTTCTTCAGAATTTCATGTTTAATTAAATGTTACTTGTCATTTCTTTGTACTGATTTGTACAATTTGCAAGCAATTTTTGACTTTCTGAATTTCACTTGGTAAATCCTACACCAAAAATTTTTAGTCATTAAAAATTATTTTTACACCCAGAAAAGGGGGCATATGATCACTTTTTGGAAGTGGTTTTGTTATTCATGTTTTGTTTTGTTTTGTTTTGTTTTGTTTTGTTTTGCAATGCATATCATTTTTTTGCTATTGGCAGTGATAATATTATCTAAAACATGAACCTCAGTAAAGTAAAATGTGATTTTGGAGGGGGGGGTAAAATTACTTTTTATTTTTGATCATTTATGAAAAAAATATATATATATTTTTGACAAATAAATCGAACATAAGAGTATGGAAGCTTGTTTTTGCCATGGGATAAGAAATAAAAAAGGTAATTACATCTTTGTATCTCAGAATTCTGACTTTTTTTCCAGAATTGTGAGTTTATATCTTGCAATTCTGAGAACAGAACGATAGTTGTGTGATATAAACTGCTAGAAAAAAGTCAGAATTCTGAGTTTAAAAGTCACAAATATCTTTATTATTATTATTATTATTTTATTCTGTGGCAGAAACAAGCTTCCTTATAAGAGCCCTCTTTCAAAAACATTTAAAAAAATCTTGCTGACACCAAACTGAACAACAGTGTAAAAATACTTAGTGTAACAATCTTCATTTTTCATTTTGTTTTGTATTGCAAGTGAGTAATTGCTATTGACAGTCATAAGTTTAGCTATGAAACATACATTTTGCAACAGCGTTATCTAGGTAAATAATACAATCCCAAAAAAAGCGTCAGTGATGTATGTGCACAATAATGTTAAAGTTAGTTTTTACTGTGTTTTTAGTTTTCAAAAATGCACCCATGGTATGCATAAATAATGGCTGCTGAAAATTCAGGTTTGCATCGGATGAATAAATTACATTTTTAAATATATTCAAATATAAAACAGTTAAGTTGTAATATTTCACAATATTACAGTTTTTACTGTATTTTTGATCAAATAAATGCAGCCTTGGTGAGCAGAAGTAATGGCTGCTTAAAAAGCAGCTTTGCATTACAGAAATAAATTACATTTTAAAATATATTCAAATAGAAAAGTTATTTAAAATTTTTATATTTTAACTTGTAATAACTTTTGTTTCATCAAATATCAATAGCAGAACGCATTTATACACAGAAACATTTATACACTAATGTTCAGTTTGGAGTCATATATTTATGAAGAGTTTATTTGCAAAAACAGATAACTTCAGATTTTTTTTTTAACACAGGCTCCTATGGCACCTTTGACCTGGCATTTTCCAGTAATGCCAAAAGAACCCCAACAGCCAGATGTGCCTTTTGAGTGTTGCAGCACAATGTGGGGAGAACTTTGTGCATGTGGAGGTGAAGAAGGACTTCTTTGGTATTAATGAGCTTGTGTATACATTCAACCTCCTCTATACTCCTGCGGCTTTAGTAGGAACTCCCATTGTAAGGGCTGATGCAGCAGTTGTTGGAATTGAGTGCCACTATTCAAGGTTGTATAATGTAAGCAGCAATATCTTGTTGCCCGCTTGGGTTCCTTTTGCTGCAACTAAAGTTGCAGAGGAAGTTCTTGTGTTCTCCTTGAGGCTCATGACTGGTAATATGTATTTAAGTGTTATAACTTCAATAAGTGACTAGGTAGTGTTGCCAATGTGACTTTCATTTCAGATGACTGGATGTTTGAGAGGCCATCCAATCAGTACTTCCTAGGGCAATTCCTGAAGCTTGAAGCTTCTGTGAAGCAGTACAACCATTTTCCTCTGCGCATCTTTGTGGATGGTTGTGTGGCTACTGCGGCCCCTGGTGTGAACACCACCTCTCCAAGATATTCCTTTATTGAGCTCAGGGCTTCTGGGCTGCTGTGGACTATGTCGATCGGGTGTCCGCACTAAGTGATATCAAAATATCGATTGATATCGATATTTTCAAAAATCATGTTTTTTATTATGTTATCATGTTTTGATTGTGTTTTATTGTATTAGTTAGCTGTATTTTTAGTTATTTTTTAACTTACTCAAAATAACAACAGCAGTTTGATTGAGAATAACTGGAAA